CTAGGTAGGGCCGGATGGTGGAATACAGCTTGCTGATGGCGGCTTCATCAGCACATGGAGCCAAGGCTACGACCAAGTCCAGGACAGACAATCTGCTCAGGGGCAGGAGACCAAGAAGAGGGGTGGGAGCTGGAGAAGGGAGCAGATTACCAGTGTTCTTATGACTACTGGGTATGGGGAGGTGCGTGAAGTCAGGGTGAGGACACGGGGCTTGAAGGAGCTCATGAACAATCATAATAGCTAGCACCTAATTGAGCACTCATGATGTACCAGGCACCGTTCTTGGTGTTTTACACCTGCTAACTCCTTCAATCCTCATAGCAACCTTGCAAGAACTATTATCAGGCCCATTTTACAGATGACGCCTCAGAGGCAGAATGGATAAGTAATTTGTCCAAGGTCACATAGCCTATAAGTGACAGGGCTGGGATCAGAACCATCGGATGGTGAGATGGCGTGTCTCCTGGGTCCTTGCTCCTCCGTAGCAGACTAAATGGCCTTTCCAGGAAGAAGGAACCAGTCAGCAGAGCCTCTGAGCACAGCCCGGACAATTAATACCTCAAGACTTCCTTAAATAATTCAAGAGGGAACCCACAGTGCTTCCGCCAGATGCACCCTCCAGCTCCCTGGGCTGCTCCAGCTCAAGTGCAGGCCCTTAGTAAATTACCTGGTAAAGTCAGGGCTGGCAGGGTCGAGCACCTTCTCGCTGGCTTTTTCCAGGAGACTGTTCACCAACTGGTGGCCCCAAGGGAATGAAGAGGAGAGAGTAACTGAGAAGTTAAGAGAGCAGCAATGGCAGCAGTCCCAGAGCAGCCTCCCCACCATTAGCAGCCCCCAGCCCCACGACTGCTGGGATGTGCTCCAGAACACAGAGACCCACGTGAGCCCTGGTGGCTAGGGTCTCGGCCTCTCCGACACTGTCCACCTGAGAGCTCCCCTCCTCCCTCCTCCCCACCCTCCCATGGCTCACCTGAGTGTCAGTGATGGTGAGGTAAGTTCTGACGGTTTCCAGCACAGCCCGGCGAGGGGCTGGAGTGTCCCCACCTGCCACAGGCTGGCCATATA